AACTGAACGCATATCGTAGTGTTGAGTTAAATTCAAGTTGCACTCAAACATGTGCGAAAGAGGGAGCCCCAGTTAATTCAATGCAATTCCTCCTCCTTGTCCATGTTGAGCCTCCATTAACTTGTTCTTCTTCTCTAATGGACACGTGAAAGTGCTCATAAGTGATGTCTGCCATTCTCGTCAAGAACGGTATCATTACAATTTAAAACGGGTCAGGGATGATCAGGGAAGTGTCACTCATCGCATTTGGAACCGTTAGCCCACAAAGAGGACGGAGGTGTAACACCCACAAAACACATTGGGCCCAGAAAAAAAACTTCACAAGACATCCGACTGATGACCAAATACTACAAAGGTCCCCCAACCACAAAAATGCTCCATTGTCGCGGACGCTGGGGAACAAATAGAGCCATTCCGTCGTGACGGTGCAAATGTTAAAAAGGGTCGTCCATCGCAGCATTTGTCACACACAAACAATTATTCTGAGTCGTGGTGACTCTGGAGTGCCGTGTAAAAGCAGCCCACAGCCAGTAGGCTCAGGGTCGGAAAATGGTGTCATCAGAGACATGCGTTATTTCCCGTATGGCACGTAGTGTATTTAGTTAGCGAGCTTTACGGCCAATGTGCTTTGCGAGCACCAGAAACCGCCGCTTAAGTGTTTGTCGCTTGTTGACGAGAGCCTCTCATCATAAACAACATGAAATATGGGACCAAGATTAAAGTCTAAAACAAGTTTGGGTCTTCACTGAAACCGAGATGCATGTGATCGTTTGCCAAACCATTTGGTATGTGGTATTGAAAAGCGGTGAGTTAACATCTCCTCGCTTCCACCCGTGTCAGCTCTAATTGAACGATGACAGCAAGGAAAAGACACTGGTTGAGCTCCATATAAATGGAAGCCGAAAGCCACCCGACTTGCACTATACAATCAAAAGCTTAGTTTCATTTCATCTTTCCATCAAAGCTGGGAATATTTTTAGCTTTTTTCCTGTGAGATTTTGTGGTGATTGACAGTGAAGACGAGGTCTTCCCTTCACAGCGTCCCCGCCGTGGATCCCTCTCATCTATTTTCAAGCTGACCGCATACTGTGACCTCGCCTCGTTCCTCTTGTTCATCTCCGGGCCGTCTCTGATTGGATCAGACGCAAACGAACGTCTGTTGTCCTGCCTCAGCCGATGCCCCCTTCGCCCCCTTTCTTCTCGCCTGGCCCCGCCCAGCGCCATCCTGCAAGTGCCGTCACAGCAGCATCACTCATGCTCTCAGGATGAAGGCAGGATACGGATGTTTTGTTACTTGATCTGTGTAACTCCTCCGCATGCTGACCTGACTTAGAGCAAGGATGTGTGTGGGAGTCTTTTTCACGACACGTTATGCGTAGAATCATACATAAATCATTTGGTTGCTAGCCTGCATATAGATTTTGTGTTAACTCGATCACATTTGCATCCATTTGATGTCATGCAACACATTACGGTGTATCCACTCACCAACGCAATAAAAATGTTGCCTCGACAACATCCTTACCGCCCCAAAAAGCATGCTTGTCACTGTCTGATATATTCGTGGGGGTGTTGTGACCATTTTAGTGCAGTCACTTTTGAATGAAATATGGTGAGTCACTTTTTTTTGGTGCATTTCCTTAAATTCTTGCTGCACAGAACTCATTCTAGTGGGTCAAGGGGAAGTAAAAAATGGTGATACTAGCTCTTGAATGCTGTGCAGTTCTGCACCAACACAATCTAATGAATATTTCTCATACGACCGCGTATTACAATATAGCATAGATTTTTGTGCGGCAGGATATTGCGTTAAATCCATTGCTGCCTGGTCATCCCGGAAGAGGGGAATTCCCCCATCTGTGGCCCCTTCTCAAGTTTTTTTTTTTCTTCCTCTCCTGTGGGTCAAAATCAGGAAGATGTTGCTCATATATGTCAGCCAATGATTGTTGAAAGAACTGACAGAGGATCATGTTGAAAACATTAACCATGAGCATTAAAAAGTCTGGACTCGAGTTCAAAAAATGCAATACTGTAGGAAATGACCTCAGGTGATTCAATGCAGCATGATCGAACAAGAATTTTGTAAGAAATGTTGAATCACTATATTTCACATCTACCAGTCCTGTATCATATATACATTCAGTGACTGCTCTAAATTGACTGCAAAAATGTCTGAGAAAATCTCAGACAGAGATGAATGACCATATTTGGTGCTACGACATTGGGCCTGCCGCACCGGATTATTGTTTTTCTTTCAAATGTGTTGTATAATGAATACTGTGCAAGAGCAGGAAGAACGGTTTCAGCAATTCTGTTGTGTTTAGTTTTTTTCTCAGACGGCAAGGCGACTGCAGGATGCGAGGCGCTCGGGTGGGTCAGACAAGAGACAAGCAGGAGGGGCAGAATTTGGAGCACAGCAAGCGAGGGTGGAACTCCAGTGACCGTGAGATATTTCTGATGTAGCCGCAAAGTTGAAAACTTCTTAGATACCGGACAGAAAGGAAGCACAGAGGCAGGATGAGACCAAACAGGGAGGGCACCTTGGGTGGTACAAAATGGACCTCTTGTCCCCTTTAACCACCACCTCACTGACTTGTTTCATACCATCTGTGAAAATTACAAAGTCTCGATGTGCCGTTCCTGAAAACAAGGGTGGACCATTACATTCCTGTAACATTCCTCTAAGGCAAGAGACTCACGGAATCTTTGAGGCGAGAAATATTATGAATAAGAAGCAGCATGATGTCACCGTCTGTAAGTTTACAAGCCACTTCAAGGAACTCTGGTAAAGAGCAAAACTATATTGGGGATGTGGCTGCAGACGTTTTGACTTCATTTTAGGGGCCATTGTAAAGTAACAACAACATTGGTTAGCACGGCTATGAAAAATGTTTTCATTTCACATTTTTGTCACATTCGGCCTCTTTGCATCGAGCGCTGTTGGAAAACTTGCGTTATTTGCACAGAAATGACTCAAGAGCTAAAACATGAATAATTCACGAGGTTAAATACTGTGTCTCCCTGGCCACTGTGTTGACAGGCTTGATTGCTTGTTGGGCAAGGGAAGTCGAACTCTCTGTGGCACTTCAGATGTCCTGGAGGGGAATCAATCATTTCGTTCGCCTTTCCAACGCTGCAGCTTTAAAAGGGCTTTATTATCAGCATCTCTGTAACCAAGGTAGCACAACAGACAATTTATATACAGTCCAATTCACATGCAAAGAGTGACTAATTCATATATATTGCAAAGGCCACTTAATCAGGACATGATAAATTGTTACCTGATATACTATCACGCAGTCCAATTCACATGCAAAGAGTGACTAATTCATACACTGTATATTGCAAAGGCCACTTAATCGGGACATGATAAATTGTTACCTTATATACTATCACATTTAGTCCAAAGCAATACCTTAATTGTCACCTTATACACGATTAGCATTAGTCTCAGGTAATGTCTTTCTAAGTGTTCTAAGTGCTATCATTCTTGTGTCTGCTGTCATTGAACTCGCGCTAATAAATTGTAGACTTCGGGCCTTTAAACGTGACATTAATTTTCTGGTGTTGACGAGTAGAGATTGCCTTCTAGTGGTTTCATGAAGAAAATACAACATGAACCATGAATGTTTCTACGTACAGTATTTTTATTTCATCCCAGTGCTTTTTAATAACAACAACAACAACAATTGTATCATCCAATCAAGTGACTTGTCTTCCAACCTTCTATTGCATTTTATTAAAACTTAACCGATGTGAGCTTTTCACACAGCTGTTGGTTTTCTGCTGCTTATCTCTGCGGACAGTGGGGGGACATGGTTGACATGGAGCAAAGTTCACCACTTTGTCTCTCTCCAGAGCCGCCCGCATGGTCTGCTCTACAAGGACTTGAAACTTGTCGTCCATCCTCCTGAGTGCGGGTTCGTACGCGTGGCACTGAGCCTTGAGCCTCCTCGTCTCCTCCACCAGTCGGTTCTTCTCTTGGCCAGCACGTTTGCGGTTCATCCACTGCGTGTCTCGGGTCTTCTGCACCATCGCCAGCGTCTCGGCCGAGGTTGAGGCTGCCAGTCGGTATTCCTCCCTCTCCCGTAGCGCATTCTTTAGTTCGTTGTGCAAACGCTGATTTTGGACATACACGTCCGGGACCTCGCCGACCCGCTTGGTATTCAGCAAGCCCTTTTGCACCATCTCCGTCCACTCCGTTTGGAAAGTGTCAAGAGTTGCAGTCATCTTCAGTTGACTGAGAAAATTGCGGATAAAATCATCCGCGTTGACGTGCAGTTCGGAGGCGGTGGCGGACGTATCGAACCCGGAAGAAACTGCATGAGCTCTTCTCGCGCGCTCATTTATGGTTTTGACGGTCGCCTCCAAGTCCTCCTCTCCTTCTGTCAAGCTAACGTCGTCCTCACCAGCATCATCATTATCACCATCATCAACTTGTTCTTCATCATCTTTTTCTTCTTCTTCTTCTTCTTCTTCATTTTCATTAGGCCTAACATCAGCATTCTCATTACCACCATCGTGATCATCATCACCATTAACACCATCAGCGCCATCGTCATCATCACCACCATTCCCGTCATCACCATCATTCACATCAACTTCATCATCAACACCGTTATTCTCTTCACGATCATCCCCGTCGGGATCAACTGAATCGTCTTGCTCCATTGCGTTATCGTCTGTGTTCATAGTTGGATAGAAAACCTGACACTATCCCTCCTCAGAGCGTCATCCTGAATTGACCCCCCCCCAGTACATCCACCAGCAAAATGTGGCAACGTCCAGAAAAAACGTCATTAGCTCTCGTCGATTACATTGGAATAATCAAACGTGGTGACGTTCGTATATCAACACGTCACCACAGGTTGATCTCTTTTCCGTGAGACTTCTCGACCGCTTGTGTTGTTTTTAATTGCATCACCTAGGTTTCCATGGAGATGGCTTGTTCGCGCGAGAAATCGCAAATACGTCACTGGCAAGTCAAACAACGCGAGAGTTCGTTATTCTCGCTACCCGTCGTCAGCAAACTGTCATGGCCGACTACCAAGAGGCGCCCTTGGCAACACGGCCAAAAACATTGGACCCAAATGAATATTTTAATCTTTCGCCGGAGTATCGACGAGCTGAGGAGGCTCGGGCGGCACTGCGGGCGAACCTGAAGAGGCAGTACCAGATGCAACTTAACAATCCGCATAGAAAAGAGCTTATTGTAAGTGGCTACCGGCGAGCTAACAATGTCACCCTTGGAGAACCAGTCGAGTTAGCATGCTAACCAATACACTTGGAAACGTTATTAACAACAGTTCACTTGACGTAACATTCATCTCTGTTGTGTGTTTAAGATTTTAACGATACCTTAAGGGCACACTGTTTGATTCCTGCTGGACATGCATGCTGCCGTGTTAGCAGGCGAACCGGCAATCTAATAAGGCAAACTTCCGTATTTTATTTGTACTCAATGAAAATACTGATCACTCACAGCTGCCAATTACAAATTGCGCACCTAATTGGATGCATCTATCAAATTGCGAAAATGGCAAGCTTTTAAGCCCCTTAACTTATTAAAAGTCATGTAACCTTATTAAATCTCACTTGTGTAAACCCCTGAAGCGTACTTATGAAAAATAAATCAACATACAAAGTGTATGTGATGTCAGGTTGTGAGTCTGGGGGTGCGATGTGGCCAACAGCACGTCCGGTGTAAGACTGTAAGTGTACTAATTGCATTTGCCTTACCGTTTTCCCCGCTAAAAAGTGCATTCCAGACTTTGGCGCTCCTTTCCCACATGTGAGAGAATTGCAATAAGTAATCCCAATCTGGAGATACTGCTGCTATGACGAGCGGTAATTATGATAATTGAAGCAGGTGAGGCTCACGCCATCTTAATTTCGTACTCTCGGACCTGCATGGATTTACGAAGACTATCGGTTTGTGAACAGACAACTGTTTGCTGCTCCCCAAAGTGTTACATTATTGGCCATCCTTACTCTTCAGATAAACTACGTTAAGGCCTGTGTGTTCTTAAAAAGTATTTTTTATTGTGTGACAGGAAGATCCCGCCCTGACGCGCTGGGTGTACGCCCGTGCCAACCCCTACCCACACTTCAGGGCCACAAACAAGACATCTCTGCTGGGCGCCATGTTTGGGGTGTTTCCGCTCTTCTTCTTCTACTACGTCTTCAAAACAGACAGGGTTTGTGCACTATTTGTTTTATTTGTGTGTGTGTAGCAGATGACATCTAAATCATTAACTGCTCTCCTCATCATATGTTGGTTCTGATTCTTTACAGGACAGGCGAGAGCAGCACATTAAAGACGGAACCCTGGAACGCAAGTTCAGTTTGTCATCATGAGTGCCACTGTACAAAGACCACGCTTGTTTTGGTGTGTGTAATTATTAACAAAATAAAACTATACTGTCATTGACATTGTGGCTTTCTATGTTTTCGAAAAAGGTGAATGCTGGGGGATAATCAACCCATTTCTAATTCCATACACATCATGGTACAATCATTCATGGCTCAAAAATCAAGTGACAACTATGGGATAATAACACACTTTATATAATTTTTTTGCCTGTCCAATAAATGTTCAGTTACTCCAATTTAAAAAAAAATGGAATCACTTCAAACTACCTCCAGCTATATTAGTGAATCCAACGACCTTGAGTGGAAATTTTTAAATCTGTTTTGAAATGACAATCTTTGCATAGCTCTGACCATTGGCCCTGTTTTGCCAGAAACCGTCGTCTAGTGTTTTGGGGGCTTCCAGTTGGGATTAAAATGGCTGCGTAGGTGCTCCCAGCATTGGTAGTAACTCTTGTCTAGTTTCTGGCAAGTCTCCAGGCCCCATTTGGTCACAGCCATACTGAAGGACGACTCGAACATGAACGCCTGAGGGACGCGGCATACAACAAATGTCAATTCCTTCCTGACAATTCGTAAGCTTCTCTCGGTCCGAGTATTTACCATGGTTCCTTCGGCCACCCTTTCTGGTTTGAGATCAGCCACGCTGTTCTTCTCAAAGCATTCGGTGTCAGGGCCGTGCGGGGTCATGATGCTGTGGAGGCTGGCCCCGCCTGGCTGGAAGCCCTCCTCTTTGGCTTCATAGTGGCCCTTGATCAGCCCCATGAACTCACTCATGCAGTTACCTTGAAATAGCGACAGGGGGAGCTATTCTACAACACTAGAACAGACGGTGGACGTGATCATCTCAAATGACCTTAAAATCTAGAACAAATGACATTAACATCTAGTACAGTCTCTATTCATATACCTTTTGGATTTTCCTACACTTTCAAAAAAAAAAACGCAATTGAATGTAAACTATATTGATGATCTACTGTTTGTAAGCAGTTCTAGTTGGCCCATCCTTTGGAAGTTTCGCAAAAGAAAGTGAGGTGGAGGACACAAATAGCCAGCATAGATCAAGCAAGTCATTCCTACTTCCTCAATTTTTTCACGTGCGCAAATATGACGCCTTACGGTGATAATATGGTGGACGGAAGGTGTGGTCAGCCACACCCCAGCGCGGAGGGAAGATGACAAAGTCGGCAATGGCCACGCCCGGTCTGGTCGATTTGGCTGTCAACACAGTAAAGATGGATGGATCCTGTTAAAAAAAATGGCAGCAAAAAACTCATGAGGAAGTGCCGGTCATGATTTTGCCGAGGAAAACGGCAACACAAATGAGACTCACTGCATGGTCGAAGGCCACACAGTTGATGACCATGAAGTTGTTGAGGTTGTACTTGTATGGTGTGTAGTTGCCATGCCAGGCCACCACGTTGAAGGGGGAGAAATCCTGAAAGAACACAACAAAACATGACAATTCCACCAGCGGCAAGTAGGCAACCAACTGCGGGTGAAGCTTTTCACGTAGGGGACAAAGAATGATTGATGTCATTGTACTCTGGGCTAGTGCTGATTGATGGAAAGGAGAGGAAGAGGGAAATGGTCATCATGACATTTTTTTCATTGAAATAGTGTTTTTCTGCTTCTCTTCCACTCCGTTTGTTCTTTGTGAGAGGAGTCTCGGGGTATTACTCCGTAATTGGCAACAAAATCAAACTTTCGCAAACTTTCATCATTTCAACGCTCACTGGGATTGATGGAAGAAGGTGTGAGATGTACAAGAGTAACTGGGTGCAGAGCCATTTCTTTATCTTGATTGTTAGGAACCAAAAAAAAAAAAAAAATTTTGTAGCATTTCTCTTTTGAGAAAAAAATACAGCAACAGCTCCAAAATCGATACATTTCATTACAACTCAAGCTGTCTTCTTGACCATGACAGTCTTTACACACAAATTACCGCGTACGCTTCCACGCACTGAAAATAATCCTACTTCATTACATAACCGTAATCAACTATACACACAGATGGACTTGCTGCTGTACTCAAAGTTCTTTGGGCAACGTTGTGCAGGAATATTTCTGAACGTTCACTTATGGTGGCTCAGCTAGATTCGATTAAAATGAAAAGTGGAAGAGAGTTACGCGCACGCTCACGCGCACACACGCACACGCACACACACACACACACACGCACACACACACACACGCACACGCACACACAAACATATTGGCCCAGTCAAGCAAATAATAAGTTAATTTGAGCAATTTCGGTTCACGGCGGGGGGGACAAAACAGCAGGAAAAGATGGCAGCATCTTCCCTCAGATGAGTCCTCACTCCCCCACCTCCCATCTTATTTTCCAGCCCCCCATCCCGCCCCACGCTCCAGGCATCAGGATAAAGAAGCTGCCACTTTTAAACCTCTCCAAAGAAAAAAAAACATGCGGCGAATTCTTTCAATGTATGGCCCGAATGTGGGGACTTTTGCAGCAGGAGGTGGGGGGATCGTTCTCGGAATGAAATGTGTTGCAATTAATGCCTAACTTGTTTTTCGCTGTCTGCAACTCATGAACGCCTTAACTAATTATGCGTGATTAGGACGCGTAAGTGAGGTGGAAACATTTGGATATTAAATCACCGGGGATGATAAGTCAATCAGCGGCGACGGCTAATGGATCACATCGGTGCCTCGGACAGTTTCATGGCTGTTAGTCATTGTCACGCTTCGCCGGGATGTTTACTGAAGCACACGCAGACCTCAAATGGGGTAATAGGGCAGAGAGGCCTGACGTGGCAAGGAGGACACTTTTGAAGAACAAGGACGGAAAAAGCACACAAAACACCTGTTGGCAGGCAAAGAGCTTCCCTTGGTACTTGTTGATGACGGTGTAACCCGCGGACACTTCCCGATTCTCGTACCACGCCACTGGACACAGGAAGTCTCTCGGGTTGGCCAGACCGTTGGCTCCTGCAAAGAGTCACACAAGCATACGCTGAATGAAACATATGGGCTGGTGTTTTTATGCCGAAGCGATACCCACCGATAGGGCCGAGGTCAGGGAGTTCAAAATGTGCTCCATACACCTCCAGAACATAACCTCTCGTTTCTCCAAACACGTCCACGCTGAAGCGCATACCTTGCTGGAGCAACATCAAGACAAAACGCAAGAGCTGAATCTCTTTTGGGAAGGCCGTCGACACGAACGCATTCATGTTTCCTTTTGGCAAAGACGAAATCGCGAGGTGTGTGACGCAATGTGGATCCCGTAGCGTGCAGACAATTCAACCTCTCTAAATTTGGCCCAAAGAGTGTCCGCGCAATGCAGACACAAGCAAGGAAATGTACCTGAATGACACATATCTCGTTGGGCTCGACCATCAACTTGCCAAACTCGGTGGTGATCAAGAGCTCACCCTGCTGCGGCACTATAAGAGGCAAACAGCAGATGGAGCAGCAAAAAGAACATATTCGGGAATAAGCGCACTGGGAATTGAGCCATCGGTGTTCCTGTGCCAGGTAATGGTGCCGACAGCCCTCCTTTTTATTTTGCTCACCGATCAGAAAGTCTCCATCGGAGTTGTTAAAGCATCTGGAACACGGGAAACAAGAAACAACATTGGGCCCAACTTGAGAATCTCAAGCCACAAACACGCATTCTGCCTTTTTAAAGACAAGAAGGCGCAGTTTTCATGGACACTGGCAGAGGGGTATTCACTTGACGACCTCGATAATAAACATCACAGGTCCCGACGCCCGTTCTCACTTGTTCATCATGGAGGTGTTGCAGGTGTACACATGGATGCCGATTCCGCTGCGAGATTTTGCGTCCCCGGCGCCGCAGATGGTGTGCAGACCCTGTCGGATTCACAGGCCACTGAAAAGCTTTGCTTTCGAGTCGGAACATTGCCAAAGAGCAAGAGAAAAACCCACAGCCACAAAATCCACTATCTTCTCCGTCGACTGAGGAATGGCGAATGGTCGCCATCGCATCTGGAAGAGCAAACACAAGCAGAAACTTGTCATTCAACAGAAATATCGAGACTAAACAACGGATGACAAAAACAAATGACCAGACCGGCGCGCCTTGTAACATTGTGGTTGGGATCGGGCTCCACCTGGTCCCACTTCTCTGTCAGATCCCCGCAGGCCGCGGGGATGAAAGGCTGATGCTTGACAGAGGGCAGAATGCGATAAAGCCAGCTGTCAACAAGCATATCCCGTTAATCTGACATGCAGACGTGGACGGACATGGATAAAGTCTACAAGAGTACGAGATGGAGACCTCCTCTTATTGGCTGGCCGCGGGCAGGTGAAGGCCGAGCCGGAGAGCTGCTCGGCGTACAGCCCGTAGGGGCACGCCTGAGGATTGTTCTGGAGGGGCATAGGGCGATGCGTTCAGGGGCCATGGTGAAAACGGCCACGTTCAACTTCTGCGTCTCCTACCTGTCCTTCGGGTAAAGAACCAGGGCAGCGAGGGTCTTCGGAGGAGAATTCGTTCCCAAACCCACACAAGTACTGCAAAAGAGAAATTCAACTCAGACACACGTGCGGCTTCATCGGCATGCGGGATGAATGCCTTCACGCTGGTTGTGATTAAATTGGAAGGCTCGTCGTTAAGTGTTTTTCTTAATCGTTGTCATATTGATTCACATTAGATTGGTGATAAAAACAAAGCGCAGTCACCCGTTGTTGGCTGTTCCAAAAAGAGGCGAATGAATTTAAATCGCCGTCCTCCACTGTACGCTTGGAATGAGATTTCAACCCAGATTTCTGTGTGAGACACGACTGCTGCTCAGCTTGCACTGACTAGGCACCACTCGGCGACCGATGGCCTGTCTGAAAATGTTGCTGAGTCACTGTTAGTGTGCACACTTGGGCGCAAATGCGGTCCGTGCGCGCGCCTTGGTATGTTTGCCATGCTTCACATGCCTCCGCGTTCAAACAAAACAACTTTTTACTTCTATGTAATGGGCTCCTGATGGACTTGAATGCCTTTGTTGGGGGACTTTTTGCTTGAAAAGTCTCCGTGGCCACATCTGGGCAGCTGTTGAATGCCGCATCCTGATTGGTCAGGAGCAACACCGCCCGCTTCTCAGCCCGTCTGCTTCACGTGAAAATATTCTAGCTTGTTTACTGCACGTTTACTTTTACGGATTTGTCATTGCTGAAATGGGAATCGATGCGGTGAAAGAAATGTTGTTGCCTTACCTTCAGTTCAGCCATTGTGCCGTCTGTCCCGGAGGCAGCTGAAAGTGTTATCAATGAATGACTCCCAAAACGTTCTCCCGGAGCAAACTCCGCTGCACGTCCGCAGTGCCTGGACGAGGGGGCTGGATTTGCTCCCTCTTGGTCAATATGGCTTCAATTAGGCCCGTGCAGACCGCGTGACGCAATGAGAGAGGGCCTATGGCAAAAGCGGAGAGAGGACAGGTCAGAGGTGGGACGTTGCACAAATAACGATGAGTGTCCCACGCTGCCAGGACAAACAAGGATGAGGAGCGTTCCAAGCTGCGTAGGTAACAAATAGATCGATAGATGAGGTCGAGTTGCGACATTGTGATTGCGGTCAAACTAAAAAAAAAAAAAAGTCAAGACAGTCTCATGAGCATGCTAAGCGACTGTATCTTAATGTTAGCCATCACGGAGGCACTTGGGGAGCAAAGTGTACGTGGAAGTTCTTACTTTGATGGAACGCCATCCGAATTAAGGTGATGTTAGTTCATGTTAAATTAACAAGTGTCAAAGTGTGAATCAAAACAAAATCTGATTAGTTTGTATGTCACATCCACGGGAAGTGTACCGAACATTGTGGCTGGAGCGGAGATGGCGCCAAGGACAACTGATTCCCGCTAAACGACAACATGCGGGGCTGAAAAAGGTTATGCATGAGGCAATTTTTCTCCATTTATCTTTAAAATGGGTGTTCAAACGAGGGTCTACCCCAGGCGCACGTGTCAAACCGAATCAATTTCGTCTTTCCCATTCATGCCTCGCTTGTCTATTTCGTTTCTTCGGCAAGTGTTGTTGGGGAAGGGTAAATGAAGGCAATTCTCCTAGCGAGGCGCAAATAAACTCGCCGCGGCAGAAGTAACGCTTCCTCCGGCGAGGCGTGCAGTCAAGCCCGGGCCTCCCCGCTGGCAGGCAGTTAGGGTGCTGTGCAAGACGAGAAAGTCCCGAATATCACGTCCCCATTCCCGGAAATTGATCTGCAGCGTGCACGGAGAAAAGTAAAGTAAAGAGACGATTTTAATTCAAGCCCGAGTCTCATGATAGAATTCGAGAGTATTTGGCTGCAATCGGGATGGTGCCCGCGCGCTTAAAGAGAGGCGACCAAAACTGTTGACAAATAGACCTGTGTCTATGCATGCGTAAGTGGCCCAGAAATGCTTTGTTATTAGATGCCTGCTGAACCCGATGGCTCAACGGCAAACGCTGCACTTGCTTGCCGCAGTCTGCCAAAATGCATAAAAAAAGCCATCACATGCGCACGCACAATATTTTCACGCTGACTCCTCGATACGAGACAAACGTCTTGGTCCGTTACAAGCTACGTTGGGTTAATTAGCTTTTTCACAGCATTCGTTGCGACAAGAAAAGTGTTAACCGGACAGTTTTGGCAGTGACAATTTGGCCTCGATTTCAATTGAGCTTAAGAGAGGCAGTGACTGCACAAACGCGAGTGTCGCCCACAACTCTAATGGGGACCATCTGTCAAGAAAATGGATTGGTGAATGTCACGTATTTTGACAAATAGTTTGTCCACCAATAATTCTAATCCGGCAGCAAGAGCCTCAAGACCATCTGTCAAGAAAATGGATTGGTGAATGTCACATATTTTGACAAATAGTTTGACAATTGTGACGTTAGTGTAGATTAGTGACAAAAGGGTACAACGAGGCAAAATAGTTGTTGGCTGCTCTTTCAACATACCCCACCCCCTACTGCCCTGAACATTCCACCTACCTCGCACACCACTGGACCTCGATAGGCGCTTCGGTTGCGGTTCATGACAGAGTTTCGCTTCAGCGGTTTCTGAATTGCCAGCAAACTAATACTATCAATGACCGTTGCGTGAAGTTGCTTTCTTTGTGTTCTGCAATGTAACATGGGTACATTGTGTACATGCTAGATGCGTGTTATTGGCGCTTTGTGATCGTACGAACTGGCGTGCGTGGACTTTCTATCCACTCTGCGAGGTAATCCATCTCATCTAGGATGCAAAACGGGCATATCAATGCGAAGTTGTGACTTTGCCCATCCACGACGTTGGCCTCAACAAGTATCCTACTGTTGCGTGATTAAGCGTGAATTCTGGGTCGAACAAGAAATAGCTTGCATATTGTAATCGCAGCCGAGTTCGATGCCACTGCAGTTGAATTGTTAAATTAGACCTGACACGAGACATATCCACCGCCCGCCTCGCACACCCAAATTTGACAGCCCCATTTAACACTGATTAGATTTGCAAGGACGTGGAAGCGCACCCTCTCCGTGTCTCACGCGCTCCCACTCTCCGCGCGTGTCTTCTGAGTCCGATCTCTCTCCTAATGTTATGCAAATGGTTTAATACGAAGATAAAAGACGACGGCGGCGTGTGGCGCTCTCCTGGTTCAAAAGCCTTTGTGTTTCCAAGACGATAGCTCGAACAAGGAGTGTGCTCTTTAGGGGTCATTAAACGATGGCCTCCCCTGACACGGCTCCCACTCCCTGCAACCTGCGTCGGCCATTAAAACGACTCACACCCACACCACGACGCGCACCGCAAATGCCTTTTGGCGACGGCTCCTAGTTTCTTACACATCACAGTGTCACAGAATAGAAAATTACACTCTCCTCCCACGGAGAAAATTGCTTTGGAATTGCTTGGTTATAAAGATATGCCTTAAAGAGAGAGATGGGTGCTTACAGTAAAAAAAAGAAATAAAATAAAATCAACCACACACATAGAAACAGAATTACCGAAGCACTTGAAGGACAATCCCTTCAAGTTAATCAAAGGATTTGGGAATTATTGACGTTGCGCATTTGTAGTTTCTGATTAGAAAATGCTCGGCTTGTGCGTCTGGTGTTTTCTTTCGATTGTTCTCTATCGACTTTGATGAATGGGTTACGTGTGAATAATCCCTAGTTTTAACAATCCTCACTTGCCCCGACAACACTTGCATCCACTAATACTGAGAGGTTTGCTTTTGTTCCTCTCTCAGCTGAAGAAGGGAAACAAACGCAAACAGCTCTCCGTGTGGCGCAGTGCAGCTCCGTAGCCTCACCAAATAAAACCACAATCATCGACGTTGTTCTTCAATGAACAACTCTCTGCGAGTGCCATTTGAAAGTGAGCATTGTTGTCTTTGTCAGGGCACAATTTCAGAAATGAAAACAGACAGACGAGCACTGCAACAGAGGCAGAATCGGAGGGATAAACGATGAGTCGAGAGCGCGATGAAAGGGAGAAACTACAAAAAGTGGAGTTTTTTTTTTTCCATCTTCACACACTTGGACAAAAACGGGCCTCGAAGCCACAACGCATATCGGGTTCGACTGCTTTAGTATTGCTGACAGCACACTGACTATTTTCTTGGACTCGGTCGCATTTTTAGGGAGGTCTGACTTGAAGTGAACGATCTCTGCCGAAGAAATGAGTGTTGAAGAGCAAACAATAAGGTGTACATACAATCCCGTGGAGTATTGCTACTGTTCAGGTGCACGTACCGCTCCACACGTCCATCCTCAGTCCTGTCATTAGATCATAGGCGGCTTCAGCTGCGGGGTTGGAGCTCAATAGCCTCTCAGACCAATTTGGAGTGGTGGGGGCGGCGGCTCTTCCATCCTGGCCTGCAAGTCTGAGGCTCCCCAGCGGGAGGCGACGTGGCTCCGCCATCTATATTGGATTTAGGCCTTTCCCATCCACAGGCCGCACACCCCACGGAGAGGAAGTCTCAGCCGCACTGCTGTAAAACAATGTGGCAAGCAATGGCGCACAGTCAATCTCGATGGCGCACTCCCTCTCAGCGAGGGAGTTCGAACCGACGCACTTTGCGTCCCAGCGGGGTTGCACCGAGGTCAAGGTACATCCACGCTTGTGGAGAGGATCATTCAAGGGAATTCACACTCAACTTTGTTTTTCTTATCCATATGGAAAATGTGCAGTTTAGGACCCAATGTGTAAAATACATTTTCCATCACATTAAAGCTCGAAGGAAAAAAAAAAGAGCATTTACATAAAACTCAGACAAGGTCAGGCTCTTAATTTAGTCTAATCAACTGTCATTTGCATGGTGCCATCCGCTCAAGGTATTGCTGCTAAGTGAATAAAAGGACTTCTTCACACTCAAGGGGGTGCAAGGGGTGGGGTCGGGGGCACTCTGGTTTTGATAAGATGGCATCACAACTGATTTGCATGTATTACTTTGATTATCTCATTACTCGGATGATTCTCGCCAAGGTTTTTTTTTTTTTTTTTTGACACCGGCGCAATTGAATTAAAATGAAGATACGCAATCAATAAAAGGGCAACGCGACTGCGAAAACACACAGCGTCTCAATGTTTTGGACGGTCAATCGGTGACGATGATGATGATGACAAGGATGAGGATGAAAATGACCTCTTCAGCTCACAATCTTCGGGAGGTAGAGAGAGTCTGGATTCATGTGATCATGGCGGTAATCAGAGGAGACAAAAGCAGCCGTGAAATAGCCTCTCTCTTTTGAATCACCTTTTAACCCGTCATGAATCCAAACAGACGACTTGGAGTCGCCCCCCCCCCTCCACCCACCGCCCCCTTCCGCCCCTTCTTGCCGA